AAATTCATATAAAACCAAAATATCATTTAAAACATTTTTTTCTTTTTATAAAACATATTTTATAAAAAGATATTTAAATAAAAGATATTTAATAATTTTAAAAAATAATTTTTAATAGAAAGTAATATTTTTATTATGATTTATGAGTAAAATAATATTTTTAATAGAAAATAATTGTTTTTTGTTTTTAAAATGTATTGAGTTTTTTTAAAACAGAAATTTAAAATTTTAACTTAATTTTAAGTTTTGAATATCTATTTTTCATTAAAAATATTTAACTAATAAGTTATATTACAACAAAAAATATAAAATATAATTTTAAATTTAATATTTATAAGATATGTATGAAATATATAAAATTTTGAGATAATTTCATCCTTGATCCCTAAACTTTAAAAGAATTATATTTTGGTTTCTTCTTACCACGTGAGTGCTAGTTACATAATCACATGATGCTAACTAATATTTATCGTTAATTTAGATGGTTTCATAAATGGAAGAATCAAAATATAATAACTTTAGGCAATTGAGAATCTAATTAGAACCTTTTTAAAAATTAGGGATCAAAATAATATTTAAGTAAAAAATAAAGGACTATAAGTGCTATTAACCTTAAAAAAAAAAAGCATTATTGTTCTTATGGTGATTTTGAAATGAATAGTAAAAAATTTTAAAGAAACCCTTATTTTTACTTTCTCCATCTTCTTCGAAGTATTTTCATTAAAAATAATGAAAACCTTTTTTAAAAAATTTTTGACATATTTTCATTTTTTTTCTAAAAAATATTTTTTATTTTTTCAATCAAACAAGTTTTCTTACCCATTTTCTATTTGTTGAATAATTCTAAATTCACATCCTTAAAGTAGTAACATCATTCTAAATATGAACTTTTAAAGTTTCAGTCTAATAAAAAAAGAAAATTATCTTTTATATATAAAGTTTAAGAATATGATTAGAGGGTGTTTGTATACGTGGACAAAATGATAATTTGAATATACATTATTATAAAAATTTTATGATCAAAAGAGCATAAACTTTTTTAATAAGAAAAGACTCACCATCAATCCAAAATTATTTTAATCATTAGGTCTAAGTTGATTTGACAAGTCAACCTTACTTTTCGAAGTTCACATTAGCTCGGTCAAACTTACATAACATGTGAGTATATTAACTTGTCATTTTCTTATTGAACATCCTCTTATTATGTTAGGTTGGAACACCTTAAACTTAACTTTGAGAGTTTTGGATCACTAAAATCTGGATAATTTTTCTTTTAGGTATAAATATTCCTCTTGATCTTAGATATGAGTCATCAATTTCCAACTCTCTTTAAATTTCCCTCTTTCTCTATGTTGAGTATTAATTTAAGTATAAGAGAACAAACATTAGAGACACCTCTAACTTTTATCATTAAGCAATCTCTGATATTTTATAATTTTAGATTTTTACCTTTTAAATCCGATACCTATATAGTTCAAAAGGGAAATTAGACTTATGGGGGCTTGGGAGTTGGGGTGAAAAGGGAAGAAAAACAGTTTTCAAAAAATAGGTTGATAAAATTTTGGTCATCATATTCATAAATATTGTCTTAATGCCAACCGGTAAGTCTCCAAAAGAGCTTCCCTTCTCCAATAAGGCGAGCGCCATGCGTGTTTGTCATTCGTGCATTAACTTTGTTTACTAGAAAAATGGTATTGAGTATTGACAATTGCCACAGGTGTTAGCATTTTAGCTTATACGCGTCCGATACACGTATAAGTTCGTGCGTGGGATTGGGCCCCTGGGAGGGCGGGTTGGGGATTATTCATGCTGCTTTCCTAGCTTTCAAGTCATCTTTTTCTTCTCTTTGCCTTACCTCAAAGAAAATCAGTATCATGCGTTTGCCTCTACCATTTTTAATTTGTTGACAAAATTTGAATGTTACGTGTTCACACAATACCAACTCAATTACTTCCTCTTGTCGGAAATGTGAATGCTTTTGCATCAGACATTTTAGTTTTCTTTTTTTAAGAATGTCGGATATTTAGGTTTTTATGAATTATAAGGAATGTTCGTGTGTTTATACCATATTTTTCTCATCCGATATGTGAATGACAGGTGGACTAAAAGATGAGCTCAAAAAGTTCCTCTATCAAGGTCGATTAACCAGAAACTGATGAGTGACCTGGAGAAAATTAATAGGTCACGGGGAGTTTTGATAGAAGTAGGGATGACGATGGCCGGTGGACGTCAATTTTACTAGCATTTGATGGTAATTCCATTTCTTACTTGGATGATGATAAAAGTAAATATTAAAATTATATATATATTTTAATAAATATAATTTTTATTTAATAATATAAAATTTTATTTTAAATTAATTAGATTTAAAATATTCCTATTTAAAATATATATTTGCAAAAAATTATATAAATATGTAAGATAAAAATAACGAACTAAAAAATAAATTTGGTTTTTATTTTTTTTAATGAGTTACATATACAAAGATTTTTTAAACCTTCTAAATTCTTGCAAAAATGAAGATAAGGATGAATTTAAAATATCTATTAAATATAAATAAGGGATAGTTATAATGTAAAATATCGGGGATAGGAATGGGGAATTTTCCACACTTCCCATACCCTGCTCATTTATATTCTTAGGTGAAAATTGATTTATATTTATCTCGATTCTGATTCGATTTTTTAATAATTTTATTTGATTTTATCGATCTGATATCGAGTTATTGTCTTTTATATTTGACTTTGATCTGACAGATATATGTATATTTATCCAAAATTAATTTAATAATTTTAGTTTAATATAACTTTCATAAAAATATTATTTTAAAGATAAATTATATCTTAATTATATAAAAATGTAATGTTTTTATTAAGTTAATAGCTTAAATTAATGTATTAAATAATAATTTTATTAATGTAATACATATATATGATTAAATAAATAATAAAAAAATATTTTTATATATATCCAATATGAATTGAGACAAAACATCTTAAACATATTTTGGACACGATCTTAATTTTTAAAAATAAAAAATTTTTCACTTTTGGTCTGATTTTAATTTTAAAAAAATTTATTCATATTAAACTGAAACCAAATTATTTTGTCATTTTTAAATAAAAATAAGAGAAATCTTTTAATCCTATCATTTGTTCTGGGGATGAGAAAAGATGTGTAAACCAAGTGTTTTCTAATTCTTTTTACTCTTTAGTTATATCTTCAAATTGAGTAATTCTTCGTCAATATATCCAAAGTAAATTTGACCTAATGATCTAAAATTCAAACTGAATTGCGCATCGCTCAATCTTATGTTTGCCAACTTTACTCAACTGTAACTTTATGACATTTTGGTTGTTTGTTGCAATTTGATATGAAAAATCCATAAAAACCATCACAATGAGATAGTTTTTAGAAGAACAAATGCAATGTAGTCATGAACTTTCTTCTCGTGAAAGAAAATTATGAATAGGGAAAAGAAAATGAAGGTTCCTCAAAGGAAAGTTCAATCTCTGGATAAGAAGGCACGACAAGCGTTCTGAGAGCCCAGTACCCACCATCACAACCTTCAAATTTTATATTCCAAATTTTAATTCATGTTCATATATATTTTAATAATTCCAATTCACCTCTATTTTTAGTTTCTGCCGAGGAAGATGAAGAACAGTAAAATTTCAGATGCATTCTTGATGTGATAAGGAGTTGGGTATTTTTCAATTGCAATTTGCAACCAAAAAAATCCCCCTTTATGAAATGTCACGATATTTTCCAAAACGAAAATCATCAAATACTAAAAAAATAAAGCCAGATAACTTAACTATTAAGCTCTTAGCCTAAAATTGCCGTCGAAATCCCGCAAAAGTCGCAATTTTGACGAGGAAGGCACCGATTCCATTATTTATTTATTTATTTATTTTTCCGATCACTGATTCCATCTTCAATTATATTCTATGAGATAAGATATAAATTTATCATTATAAATATGTGAGTGATCTAAATTTTAACTTCAACTTTTAGAATAGTTAAAGGATCTTCAATAAAAAATTATATTAGAAACCATTTTATAATAAAATTTTTGAAAAAAAAGGGTAAGAAAAAAAATCAAGACCAATTAAAAAAATATGAAGTAGTATTATATGTAGTAAAAAATGTCATGGTAAAAAATAAAATATTGATTATATGGCATTATTTTTAATAAAAAATATAATGATTAAAATAAACAAAAATCATATTTTAGTTTCATGGTTTAATTTTCCTTATCATGTCATTCTCAAAATTATTTTTTCAACTATAAAACAGTTTGTAACAAAATCTTTTAACAAAATTACTCCAAAATTTTAATTATGATAATAAATTTATTTCAAAAATTGAAGTATAAGGGTAAATTTATATAATTAAAATATTGATGATAAATTTAGACCATCACGTAAATATTAAATATAGTGATAAATTATTAAATTTACACACCCTATCCCTATTTGTACGTGAGCAATGTTAATTCTTGCTAACGGTAAACCATGTCAGCAACCCTCCGGCCAAGTAATAAAAGTCAAACCAAAAAGCTAACCAGAAAGTTTTCTAATTGAGAGATGCTACCCTCCGATAGCCAAAGAAGCTTTGACCTAAATTACAACAATTACCCTTCATAAAACAATTTTCCCCAGTCAGAATGCATCTCAAGTCAAAAGCAGACAGAGCAAACATTAGAAAATAAAAAAATAAAAAAATAAAAAAATAAAAAAATAAAAAAGAAAGTACCCTTGACAACAGCTTCTCCGAAACAGAGGCAGTTCCAGCTCTGCAGGAATCAAAGCCGACCCGTAATAGAGTTTTGTTTTCCTTTGCTGTCATACATTGGGAAAACATAACCCATCCTCTTTCCAAGAAAACCATCTTTCGTGATCTTCTCTCTCTCTCTCTCTCTCTCGTGTGTGTGTGTGTGTGTATATATATATATATATATATATATATGCATATTGCTTTCTTAAAATACCCCATTGCGTCTCAAAATACAAAAGCTTTCTTTGAACAAATCATAGTCATCAGTCAGGAAGTTACAAAATCCATCCAAGGATTAATGGCAGGGATTGGTAAAACAGCTCCTGATTTTGAGGATTTATTGCCAGCGATGGCGGAGAAGCTGGGTGGAGAAGGTCTGATGAGGGAGCTGTGTAATGGGTTCAAGCTGTTGATGGATGAGGACAAAGGGGTGATCACTGCAGAGAGCTTGAAGAGGAATGCGGCAATGCTGGGGTTGCATGATTTCAGAGACGATGAGCTTGTGAGCATGGTGAGAGAAGGTGATTTCGATGGTGATGGGGCTCTCAATGAAATGGAATTTTGTGTATTGATGTTCAGATTGAGCCCTGGATTGATGGAAGAGTCCCAGTTATTGCTCGAGGAGATTCTTCAAGACCAGCTCAAGACTGCTGGGTTCTAACGGGATTTTGTTTGTCCCCCTCTTATTTTCTTTTTAATTTTTCATTTTTCTCATAGATGACAAAAGGCCATTTGGACAATACACTACATCGTTTAAAATTTTTTAATGAGTCCATTTATTTTGTCATGTGCTGTCAAATAATACATTGCCTTGGCATATAATAGAAGCATACGCAATATTTGACTTTTTCCTTTTTTTTTACCAGACAGGTAGTTATTTGATAGAAATACTCAAATCCGAATAAAGAACCATTATTTTTTGAATTCAAAGGTGCTCTTATCATTTTGATCTAAGGTTGATGAACTTTATTTCTTTCTTGGCCCAGAGGGGTGATGAAATTGAAGCATTGGATCTTGACTTGTTTTAATTTCTTACAAAGATTTTATCCCTTCATTTACAATAATAATAATAATAATAATAATAAGTTTCTTACCTAATTTTAAGATTGTTGAGTTTTTAACACACAGCACTCACTTGGCTTCTAGTGCCTATTGCCAACATAGGTTAGGTCAATATTTCCCCTTGAATTGCCCTTACCTACAGCTGTTTCAAACATTAATTGATAGAAATAGTATTAAAACACACATCATCGTCTGTACAGACTATGGCCGACCTATTCTGTGCTTACTCATGAACCAAACTTAAGACATAAAAAAAATAGGTAAAGGTTTATATAAAACAAAGTACAGAAATTTTTAAAATGATGCAGCAGTAATTGTAATTTAATTTCAGTGTAGTTAACTATATGCCAAAAATACAGAAATAGAAATAGTGACAAATCACAATTACTTCGATTCACAAGTCACATAGCCGTTGGCACATACCAAGTTGTCTACAGCCGCAGCCTTATTATTTTATCTACGGCTTCCTAATTTCTTATATGGGCTTGGTCTCAGTTTTCATATTGGTTGAGCAGAGTAGTCATTTTTTTTATGTTAATAGATTTGAATATACCGCTATTGCTTTTCCATTGTAGAACAAGATCTGGCTAGAATAGTAAAAGTTGGGAAAATATTCGAAATCAAATCGCCCACAAGAGGCAGTCGCCAGCAGTATTTTTTTTTCCGTAATGTCAATGCTCCAATCTTTGAACTGCTAATACTACTAGTAATTTACATTTAGGTTGGGTCAAAAAGGGCAGGCAGTTGTCCAAGCACAAAAGCTGGTAATGCCTAGTGTGAAATGTTATGCCCCGAGGCATTAGGAATAGGAGATCAACTGTAGTCTGTACTAGAGCAGCTTTACCAAGGGAGGAAATTCAAAGGAAGTTCATCATTAGTATCTCAATCAACTAAACATCTCTATAATTGCACACATATTTGAACACACTAGTGAAATTTCATGTGGAGTAAAGAATTCAGAAAGCAAGCATCCTTTTGAAATAAATTAAATGGAGTTGTTCCATAATAGATATAGTATTTTTTTTTGTTATATCATAAAAAAAAATCTTAATACAAATAAAAAAAAAAAATCTGATTTTAAAAATCTTATTCAAAATTAAAATTTTGATATTTCTTCAAACATCTTTAATAACCATTGAGGCTTCAAGATTATGGATATAGTATTTAACTCTTACGTAAGGATCGAGTTTTTTAAAGAAAGGGACGCTAAACTAAAGATATTTACATTAACTCTTTAAAGTCTGTTGCTCTGGGAGGAGTCCAGTCTTGGTTCCTGTAAAAGTTTTTTCCCTAGACCTTTTGAAGTTTTCGGGGACTAATTTCTCTAGTTAGTGATTGTTAGTATAGTTAGCTCGTGTTGTGGCCAGAGTACGGCGGACGAGTTAGAGGATTTGTGGAAAAACCTATCGTTTACAGAAGAGGAGATGGATAGGGTTTGACCAGATGAACGATTGCTAGCAAGTGTGGACGCGGATAAGGAGAGATGGATTGTGAGCAAGCTTTTAACCTCAAGATCTTTCAATGAGGAGGCCTTCATTAGTACTTTGAAGGTTGTTTGGATACTGGCTAAGGAGGTGGAGATAATGCAATTGGAGGAGAACTTATTCCTATTGAAGTTGTAATGAGGAGTGATAAGAACAGAGTGCCGGGAGGAGCGCCGTGGACTTTCAACAAATATCTTCTGTTGATGGAGGATTATAAGGCGAGACTTTGCTCTTCTGATTGTAGGTTTTACAGGGCAAATTTTTGGGTTAAGAGTTTATGGACTCCCACTAGGGATGAGATGCTAGGATATTAGAAAATGCATAGGAGAGAAAGTGGGCGAACTGTTAGAGGTGGACGAAGGGCAGGATGGAGGGGGTGGACCAGATTTTTACACTTTAGAGTTGTTATCGACATTCGTAAACTGTTAAGAAGAGCAATAATAATTCGGGGCAGGGATGGACATGATATTCTGGGAAGGTTAGGGTATGAAAGGCTACCTAATTTCTGCTACATGTGTGGTATCATTGGGCATATTGATACTGACTGTGGAAGGGAAGCCCGATCAAAGGATGGGAGGGAAGCTAAGGCATAATATAGAGACTGGTTCAGGGCATCAGCACTAAAAAGGAGATACGTAAAAGGTGGTTCTGAAAGTTCCAGGGTTGCAGGCCAAACGAAGTTGGTGGAAGAAGAGAGGACTCGAAAGGATAGGGTTGACATGGAGGGAAGGTCGAATACGGGTGGAACTAGCTGTGAGGAAACAGGATTCCGAGAGGGAGTTTTGGGAAATCCAAGATAGGCACCGCTCAATCAAGAAGCGAAATATCAGGGATAGTTAGAAATTTAAACTTGGACACGAGGGAGATAAGAGTGGAATATCTTGGGGGTTATTCCATGCAAAATCACATGACTAATGAGGAAATGTTGATGTTTAACAGTAATGGGCAGGAGGTACCGGGCGGGCCTACTAAATTAATAACTCCCTGTTAAAAGCTTGTAATGTCTCTGGAGAGTCAGACATGATGGGATTGTGAAACCTGCATCGGGCCTAAGAAAGAATAAGGGAGCAGAGAGCTTCTTGATGGTTGGAAGGGCTTTCAATTCTGACGTGACAACCACCCTAGATAAGATGGATACAAGCCAAAAGGCAAGTCCAAATGAGAACAAGGATTTGAGTAGAAATGAGGTAGCGAACAAAAGTGTGCTTGGGAATAAAATGATCTAAAAAAGCTGGCATGTAAATCGAGCCATGCAATGTAAAACATTCACGTAGGGGTGGGATCGAAAAGAGAACTAAGGGAGGTCCTTACTGATGGTTCTGTGAAAGATGAAGACCAATGTAGAAAAGGGAAGAAATGATGGGGCTGATATGCACCAGAAGAATAACAGAACGACGGAGACTGGCTTCCAATCCTACCGAAATCAATGAAAACCTTAGATTGGAACTGCCTTGAGCTTGGGAACACACAGACAGTTCAGGCCCTTCACATGATAGTGAAAAGGGAAGATCCTGACATTGTCCTTTTGAATGAGACACGTTTAAAAGGAAATGCACTGGATAGAATCAAGAAAAGATGTAATATGACTTCGGTGTTTGGTATGGACGGAATGGGAAGGAGTGGCGGTCTTAAGATGATGTGGAAGCGGAATGTGGAGCTTAACCCATTAAGCTTCTCCAAGTATCATATAGACATGGAGGTGGTGGATCAAAATGGGAAAGAATGGAGAGTTATTGGTTTTTATGGTGAACTAAGTATAGCTGACAGGCATTAAGCTTGGCATTTATTAGAGAGGCTAGCTAATCCATCATTCAAGACATGGCTTTGCTTAGGGGATTTCATTGAGATCTTATGGAACTCTAAGAAACAGGGAGGTAATATTTGGCCACCTAGACAAATGGAGGAGTTTAGGCAGGCCATTTTGGAAGCTGGACTAGAAGACTTAGGGTACCGAGGCTTGTGGTATACATGGGAAAGGGGAACGGAGGTTCATATAGTGATTCGAGAGAGGTTGATAGAGGATTGGGAACTAAAGCCTGGATGGAGTTATTTCCACTGTACACAGTTACAAATCTTGCATCTACATTATCTGACCACAATCCAATAATTGTAGATAGTGAAGGATGCTAGGCCATTGGGAGTAGAAGGAGAAGGAAGTCAAGATTTTATTTTGAAGCTGCATGGACAAAGAAGACCAAAACAGAAAGCATAATAGAACGTAAATGGGCTGAGCACATGCATGAAGGGATCCGCGTAAGGTTGCGATAGACCAGGGTGGGGCTAAAATCTTGGAACAAGGCATGGACCGAAAGACTCCAAGGTGGTTTCTAGACTAAGGGAGGAATATAATGATCTTAAATAAATAAAGCCCATGGGTGACAACATGAGAAAGGCAGAAGAAGTATGATGAGTAGAACGTTGCCATGGAAAAGGAAGAACTCTACTAGTCCCAGTGGGCGAGGGTGAACTGGCTTAGGGAGGGGGATAAAAACACATCATATTTTCATGCACAAGCAACGACTAGAAGGAGGAATAACTTGATTAGAGAATTAGAGAATGATGAAGGGATATGGATTGAAAGTGAAGGTGGAATATGAGATTTGGCCATCCGGTACTTCCAAAAACTATTTGAATATCAAAATCCTAGTCACTTGGAGAACATCATGGAAGCTGTTGAGGGCACATTTGAAATGAATGAGCAACTAGTGGCAGAGTTTAAAGCCGAAGAGGTTCACGAAGCCATTTAGCAAATGCATCCAACAAAAGCACGGGGCCTCGACGGTACGCTTGCTCTGCTCTACCAAAAGTTTTGAACATTGTAGGTGGTGATGTAACAACCTTATATCTTTCCTTTCTAAATGCAACAACTTCATTGGAAAAGGTAAATAGTACCAACATTGTCCTTATCCCTAAAATAAAAAAAATCCAAGGAAAGTCACCAACTTTTGGCCCATCAGCCTATGTAATGTCATCTCCAAAATCGTTACAAAGGCGTTGTGAATCGGCTTAAGTGCGTACTTCCCCACTGTGTTAACTAGAATCAAAGTGCCTTTCACTGCATGAAAATTGTCGTATACTCACGCTAAAAAAATAAGCGACAAAATCAAAAAATTTGTCAAAATAGTATAATAAATTTTATATTGATAGTCAAAATATGTATTTTAATAAATTTTTAATCATTAGTATATCTTTTTTCGGTATAGATCTATACTGATTATTTTTAAAGTGTCAGAATAGTTTGTAAGAATATACCTACGATTTAAGATTGTCAGTAAATATATATCTATTGGTATAGCATCTATTGTATATTTCACTATTATACCTTTTAGTGATGGTTAATACTGGTCAATAT